CGGGAGCTGCACCTATGTACCACTCGGGGTGCAGGGCAGTCCCTGCTTCTGCCCACTCAATGGCAACCAGCTCTGGAAGTTTCCACCGGATGAGGCCTACACTGCACGCCAAGCCCCATTGGTGTATGACTGCATGGATGACCACTCAAAGAATGACTGTCCACCTGGCAGGGATCTACAAAAATGTAGCCGACAGATTGAGCAGGAGAACATTGAGCAGGAGTGGGAATTTCAACCCATCATCCTGAAACACCTATTCATAGCATGGGGGAATCCTTCTGTAGATCTGTTTGTAACATCAATCAATGCAGTGTGCAACTGGTACTGCTCCAGGCCAGGGGCAGGCAATGGATATCTCAGTGATGCATTCCTGCAACAGTAGAATAGAACTCTACATCTTCCCATCTTTTCCACTTAAAACAAAAGTAGTGGCCAAGATCCAGAGAGCTCACACAGACTGCATCCTGTTGACACCATGGTGACCACAGCAACTGTGGTTCACAGACCACCTATTCCTGTTCAACCAGAAACTGCCTCACTGGATGGATATAATATCTTGGGGTGGAAAACAAGTGCTCCACCCTGACATGGAGACACTGTGACTGATGGCCTGAAGGATTGCTTGGTATGTCAAGAAACATCTGTACAACCAGAAATTCAACAGATCCTCAATGCAGCACTTAAACCAAATACCAGGCACTTGTGTGAGGCTAAAATATAAATAATTTACAAAGCAGCAAAGGTTCACCCCTAGGACATTCTCAATCCACCAGATTCTCACCTTCTTATATAGATGAGAATCTTGTACACACACACACACAGACACCTTCATGCAAAAAACTTTAAACCAGCGTCAATCAGGATATACTTGGCTATATTCTCTTTCCATGGAATTACAGAGGGCTATACAGTCTTTACTCACCCTCTCACCAGAAAGATCCTGAAAGGATTGCACCACATTGCTCCACCATTCTGATCAATAGGCTGCATCCAGGCACAATCAGTAGTGTTCCAAGTGCTAACAAAGACGTCGTTCAAATTGTCTATAGCAGACATCCTCCTGGTGTCCTGGAATGTGGCCATTACATTGACACACAGGACAGGTGAACAATGTGTCTTCTGGATTTGACCCTCTGTTCCTAACCTTCCACAAGGACAAAGCAGTGCTTCCACCAGACCACTCCTTTTTACCCAAAGTGATGTACCCCTTCCATTTAAATCAGGACCAGCTTTCTTCCTAACACCATCTGTCCCAATGGAAACAACACTTAATTCATTGGATGTTCTTAGAACCTTAGCTTTTTACTACTTGCACACTGAATTAATATGCAAAATGAAGAGACTGTGTCATATGCAGAACACTCTAGAGCAAATGTAGTGACACCTCAAAGATTGGCCCACTGGATAGTGGAGGCCATAAAACTAGCATACCAGCTAGCCGGACTGGAACTCCCACAATAGCCAAAAGCACAGTCTACCAGAGTGATGGCAACATCAACAGCAATACACGCTAGCATCCTGGTGAAGGACTTATGCAGAGCAGCGGCATGCTCCAACCCTTCTACATTTACCAATGTGATGTTTGGGAAAGGAAAGACTGCTGCTTTGGCTGGGTGGTCCTGTTAGCAGTCAACAGTCCTTCACATCTCCACCTCGCCAGATAACGTTGTCTCCTCCTAAGGCCTGGGATCCCCAGAGGAGAGCCTGAGTCACTTTTCAGAACAGGACCTCCAGATGGTGAAGTTGTTGGGCATTCCAGTCCAACAAACAATGGAACAGATGGAGGGCATGGTCTATGACATCATCTGGATGGAGAACTCTGTTCTGATTGCTGTACCCTTCATACCAGTGCTCTCTGAGGCTACGAAGGAAACATGGGAGATCCCCAGCCGGCAACATCCAACCTCCCGGCAGCTCAAGGAGATGTACCAGGTAAGGGAGGCAGACATTCTGTTCCTACTCCACCACCCCCACCAAAATTCCATGATCATGGAGGCCACCCAGGGACAGCAGCATAGAGAGCACACCACACCGACTGAGAGGATCAAAGATTGGATGTGATGGTGCACCACATATATTCAGCAATGGGCCTGGGTCTCTGCATTATCAATTTACAGGGCTACTATGGCAAGGTACCAGGTCTTCGTATGGCAAAAAATGGAGACCCTGGTGGCATACCTACTGAACCAACAAAGGAAGCTGGCCAGAGCCTTCCTGGCCAAAGCCATTCACCTCTCCAAACAGCAGATTGCCATGGCGTACCATCATCATGTGGACTGTGATTCTCAGGCTCTGATCAGTGTGGTAGCCATCCACTGACATGCATGGCTTCAGGCATCCACTATCCCCCAGGAGATGTGTTCATAGATTGAATTCATGCCTTTCTATGGAGATGGCCTTTTCCACGTGTGCATGGACAAAAGACTTCACACAATCTAGAAGGTTTAGACCACTGCTTGGCAAATGGGAATCGGAATGCAACAAAGGGCATGTAGGTGGCCATGGAGCTGAGCTCCCCACTACCCATCCCAAGCTCCTTGACAGCAAGGTTATGCCTTTAACCGCCCTTCATAGGGGCAGTTCTGAGGCTGACAGCTGTGTTGGTACGGTTCTCAGCCCCAGCCACCTAAGAGGCAACCTGAAGCAGATAAAGACAATGCTGATGGTCTGCACGAACCAGCCCCATAGTTTAGACTCCGTTTGGAGACCTCCTGAGCCACCATGTTCCCATTTGGCAAACTGACCAGTGGGTACTTTTCATCATAAATTATGCCTATAAAATTGCATTTGAGACCCTGCCTCCTCTAGGAACCCTTTGCACTACCCCTCCTTCTCCAACCCTAATGGAGGAAATTGTCACCTTACTAGCAAAAGGTGCAATGTGTCCAGTACACCCGTCAGAGGTTGAGCGGGGTTTCTACTCACAGTATTTCACCATGCCTAAGAAAGATGGTAGTCAACTGCAAGAAGTGAATCATTTCATTTCAACCAAAAAATTCTGAATGGTTTCCCGTTAGGGTATAATGCCAGTCCTAAAGAAAGGATTCTGGTTCATATTCATCTATTTAAAAGATGCTAACTTCCACATAAACATCTATCTGGACTATTGTCACTTCCTTCAGTTTTGAATCAATACCAACATATAGGAGTTCAGGGTCCCACCATTCAGTCTCTCCATGGCACTGAGAGTATTCACCAAATGCATGGATCTGAAGTGTGCACATCTCCAACTCAGGTGGATCCAAATATATCCTTATTTGGACTATTGGCTGCTAATGGCTGATACAAACAAGAGTTGCTGTGAGCTATAGAGACCACCTGTAAATACCCTTCATAGTCATCACAGTAAGACAGAACTGTTCCTTTACATGGGCTGTATGGGCTTGATTCTACAGTAATGACTGAACATTTGGATGACTTGACCATTCTTAATCATGAACTATTGTTGAATATACAGCAGTGGCTGGTCAGTGGGACATAAAATGAGAACCTTATTCTTGAACTATGCCAACTTATAATGTGATTGTACCAACACCTCCCACCACCATATGAGGTACGCTAGCCAATCACCCATATTTGTGATGCACAGAGACCATAACGAAGAAAGGCAGGTTGCATACCTGTAACTGTCGTTCTTCAATGTATTCACAAAACCCACCTGCACAACCCACCTGCTAACTCTGCCACTGTTGGTGGAAATAAGTATAATTACATTCATAGGTACATACACATCCAAAATTTTTACCTCCTAATTTTATAGTGGTAAAATACTTAGGAACTGACAAGTACTGGTCTATTTATATAAGGGGGGGGGGGCCTCCCACAGAATGTTCTAGGCCTAGCTAGAGAAATCTTCCTGAGCAGCACCGCGCAGGTGCAGCACCCATATGTGTGAATACACAGATGACCACTCAAAGAATGACAGTTACAGGTATGCAACCTGCTTGAATTGACCAGCCAAGTAGGAGTGGAACCACCTCAGAGCAGTGCCTCTAATCCCCAACTCAGCCATACCATCCAGAAGGATACCATGGTCAATCGTATTGAAAGCCACTGAGGTGTCTAGGAGAACCAACAGGAACACACTTCCCCTGTCCCTCTCCCAGCATAGGTCATCATTCAAGGTGACCAAGACAGTTCAAGTCCCAAAACCAGGCCTGAAACTGGACTGGAATGTGTCCAGATAGTTTCCTCCAAGAGAGTTTGGAGTTGTCCTGCCACCATCTGCTTGAGCACCTTCCCCAAGAATGGGTTATTAGCCACCGGTCTATAATGGGTGGCAATCTCTGGGTCCAGGTTCACCTTCTTCAGGATGGGTCTGAAGAAGCTGGAACGAGAGGCGTTGACACCTTCCTGGATCCATGTTTTCCTAATTATGATTAATATTTGTAATGAGTCTTCTCTCATGTATGTCTAAAATGTTTAGTATTTTAATAACTAAAATAACAGATTTTGCATATAGCAGGGGCTTTAATTGATTTTTGTAATGGATTTTTGTATTTGGTTTTTTAGTAGTTATTGTAATTTGCAATTATCACTTAATTAGGATTTTTGGGACTAATATTTTTGGTTCATCAATTAATCATATGCAGCACCTTGGATTCTCCATCATCATTGGACTTTGATTGGTACAGCCTTCTGTTTTAAGTGTCTAGAGAACCTAAAACCTGTTGCAAAGCACTTTAGCACTACTAGAATAGCACAGAATGGTTCAGGCAAAGATTGAAGGATACTGACAGATGGATACTGAGGGAATTGAGAACTGGAGTAAGCCATGGACAATGTAACTTTACTTTAAGGTAAAACACTTTTTGCTATTTTTATAGCAGTGTAAGTACACAGTGCTTTGACATTTTTGTTTGTATTTATTTACCAGTGGTAGCTGGATAGCCTTTACAGCACTTACACTGAGGATATGTAGACACGCTGCCTTCCCCCTATGTTAGGAATATGTAGAAAAATCCCTGACCTTTTATACCTTCTGTGCTTTCTCAATTTAGGTAAAGCCGTGTTTTTGGCAAGAGACAAGCACCATTTGGCAGACTTGAGCCACCTAATTCGTCACGAGGCACCTTATGTATTCCAAAAGTATATCCAGGAGTCCCATGGCAAAGATGTGCGTGTGATCGTGGTGGGAGGCCGTGTAGTGGGAACTATGTTGCGCTGTTCAACAGATGGTAGAATGCAGAGCAATTGCTCACTTGGTAAGAATCAAAGTGTGCATATCCTTGGTTGGATTTAATGCCCACAAAGGGAGAGTTTAAGCCTAATATAAGTAAAAGATGTTTCATGCAGAATGAGGTTATAAATAATTCACATTAATTAAAGGTAAGATTTTTTAAATAAGGGGCATTAATAAGGAAATTAATGATTAGATTTTTGTAATAAGGGGTATTGCCTAGTTAGAAAGAAATGGAATGGTAAAGGTATTTAAAATGTAGTCTAGTGGTCTGCTGTCAGGTTACATTTGCTCAACATTGTTTCTATAGTCACTTTTTAGGGCTGTGTAAATGCAGCTGTCAGATAATGATGATTAAATTATTAGCAACAGGCTGCAAAACCATTTATGGTATCTATAAGCTGTGCCTGCTTTAAATGACCACCATATTCTGTTTTCTGATATATAGATATATTAAAAAGTATATCAAAATATCTGCAGTGTCTGTCAGATATCTTGCCCCCACACACAAACATGAGCTTTTCTATAATCTTTTAAACATGAGCAGTCAGATTTCTCTGTCATTCTGGTGGAGTTCATCCTTTCAGTACAAACTGCTCTAAACATTTCCCAGTGGCCAGCCCTGACAGCACGATCTTACTCAGTACTGAGAACTCACACAGCTCTACCAGTCTGGCCCATGAGCTTTAATAGATAATCCATAGCCAGAGAATGTGTAGCCCTTCTAAATCCAAGTAGCTAAACTGGAACAAAGCCACATTCTAAACTGTATTCTTCCTTCTTTTGCCAGGTGGCATAGGCATGATGTGCTCACTGAGTGAACAAGGCAAACAGCTGGCAATCCAGGTGTCTAACATCTTGGGGATGGATGTATGTGGCATCGACCTGCTGATGAAGGATGATGGCTCGTTCTACGTCTGTGAGGCCAATGCAAATGTAGGTTTCATTGCCTTTGACAAGGCTTGTAATCTAGATGTAGCTGGGATCATAGCAGACTATGCTGCTTCCCTTCTTCCCCCCGGTCGCTTGACACGACGCATGTCCTTGCTCTCTGTGGTATCCACGGCTAGCGAGACTAGCGAGCCAGAGCTGGGCCCTCCAGCTAGCGCCACTGTCGACAATATGAGTGCCAGCTCCAGCTCTGTCGACAGCGACCCTGAAACCACAGAGAGAGAGTTGCTCACCAAGCTCCCGGGGGGTATATTCAATATGAACCAGCTAATAGCCAATGAGATTAAGCTCCTGGTGGAGTGAGGCCACATGTAAATAAATATGACTGATTTTCCTGTACATTTTTAAACAACCAACTTGTAGTGCTGTTTATCAGAAGCAGCTAATGGAGGTGAGGGGAAGGGTTTTAGCTTGGGGATCAAATACGCATGTTCTATAAATGCTGCTTTTGCTACATATTAATATTGCAAAACATATGTTTAGTTGGTATTTTTGACAGCCACTTTTCAGTTGGGAATACTCAATTAAAAATCTGCATTTTTGGGGAGTGTGGCAGGGGAAACGTGAACACTTTTTATTTCTGTTAGGGATGCCACTGTGATATTTAAATATATCGCAGAGCATGTGTTTCAATTTTGAAAAGTTTACCTTTCCCAAACAGCTGTGAACTTATAGATCTGCAACCATCCCCTCACCTCACTGGTGCTCATCCCAATTGGTTACTTTAATGCCCTTTGCTTTATATCCTGTAGGAACTGAAAGAAATTAGGTCAGCCAATTTGTTTCATTCAGAGATTCTAAATACAGCCCTTCCCATCTAACACTAATAAGATCTGTGAACTTGCATCCCTGACAGACAGCCCATAATGGTCTCGCAAGGTCAACTTACCAGGATGCAACATTTGTTCAGTATAAGCTTTTGAAACAAACATGCAACTTCTGCCATTTCAGTATTACTAGATGGGTTCATGTCCATGCATTTATATTAAAAGCAACTTTCCTTGGGAAACAGGTTTTAGTGTATGTGTGGATTTTAATAATAATTTTAAATCCTGAGTTGGTGGTGGTAGTGAAGAAGTGTATAAATTTCATTATTGCTCTTTGCTGGCAGAAGTGGCATGTTTCCTTTTGCAGAAAAGGCAAAGATAAACAGCACTGTTAACTTCTGGTGTACAAAATAATGTTTAACCCAGTGTGAAAAAGAATAACACTAGTTTAAAACAAATGTGCATTGACTTGTATTTGTTAGTGTTTTAGTCATTTTTACAAAATTTTTGCTATGCTAATACTTCATTTTCAATACATGCTCGTCCAACACTTCCTTCTCCATGCCTGCATCTTTAACAGGGGCCAAACTTGAAAATACACATACTGTTTAACTTCACCACTTTAACAACAACATCCAGACACTTCTTAAAAATCTGTTACCTAGAAAAATGTGGGAGGGGTGTGGAGGAAGGTTGAAATGGATGCAAATTTCAAAACTACTTTGGAGTGAACTTAATATGTTACTATTATTAGTAGTAACTTTTATTTATAGAAGACATTTAAAATCTAAAGTCACTTGACTTTTTAAGGCTAAATCCTGAAGAGAAACAAACAGATTTTGTTTTTGGGAAACAATACAGAACACTTTACCAGTATGGCCCAGCCAGAATGGGAATATGATTTAAGGCCACCAGTGTGTGGATCTCAGGCCCCTGTGTATGTGTCTGTATTTTGCTTTGTTTTGACATTGGTTTTGTCTGTCCTGTTTGTCACTCTTTTTTCCGGAATGCCTGATGATCTCCTCTCCCAACTCCTACCCAACCCTGATACTTCTGGCTGTGCATTTTCTTATTAAATTTGATAAAAGAACCAAAAGAGCAGCTTTGGATCTGTTTTAATGGCCTCCTCTTCCTCCTCCTCACCCATTTCTCACTTATTTGTTTTGTTTGGGGTGTATGCAACACTGAAATTACATACAAACACATGTGCACACACAGAGACAAGCATACATACAAAAACTAAATAAAAACAATGGCCAGGGACATCTCAAACTAAAGCATTTGTAACAGAAAGATGGTTTATAGAAAATGTTTGGGGGGCAGGCAGCTTAAGTGTGTTAGGCTAATTTTATTTGAATGATTCAAAGAAGCATATCCCTTCTGAGGCACTGAACTTTGTTCCTCTAGCCTGTCTTCTTCACTTGGCTGTTTATTTGGACCTTTTAAATACAAAAGTTATGGACACTGCATAGACAGGTGTCAGGAGGCAATAAATAGAAAGGTGTTAACCTACTTTCATGACAATTTCATCCCTGTTTGTACAGTTTTTGTTTTGGTTTTTTAAATGTAATCATGACCTTCTTTGAGAATTAAATATTACTACTATTGCTGCTATTATTAAAACCAAATGGAAGGTTGACTGTTGGCATTAGCTCTTGAAACAAATAGCAACCTTTCAGACTGCTCAGGTTGTAAAGAAAAATGCAAAGGGTTTCATTTTAAAAAATCAAGCACCCATGGCTTTTGAAAATTATTATTCCTTGCCAGTTCTTCAAACCTCTGCCAACTAAATGTACATCTTCTAAAATATGCTGAAACCCTGTTGGGTATTTTTTTCATGATACACCTGAAAACACCAATCATCTTCAGGAATATGATCAAAGAATTAGTCTTCTGTTAGCTGATAGGATCTTTAGAAACTGCACAACTCACAAGGAGTAAAGTTGAGTTCATGAAGGAGCTGGTAACTCTGTGATGGTTCTGATATGGAGAGTATTGAGTTCCTACGTTGCAAGAACAGATTGTGACAACTGTATTTTTTTATATCACACTTTTTTTTTTTCAAATTCCTAGGCCCAATTTTCAGCCATTTAAATACAGTGGAACACTTTTCTCTGATACACATAAAACATCAAGAGCTGTCTATACTTTTGTTTGTGGCTTAATGTTTTGAGATGGTCATGGGTACATTGTGCTTGTATGGGAGAATTGGAGAAGAGACTGGATAATTTGGGGGAAAAGAAGAGCCTCACACAATTTTAAGCAAAATCTGACATTGCTTAGCAAAATCTCACAAAAATTCTACTTAAAAAACCTAGGATAATAGGTTTTTATTACAGTTGCACCAGGAAAACGTTAAAACATTTTCACATATCATAGGTAAAATGAATTAAGCTCTTAATAACTACAGTGTAGCTTCCACAGAGGTTTGTGCTAAATGTTGCATTTTTCCTGAAGAATGTTGGGTTAACTAAGTACATTATGACCATTCACACTAGTTAGCATAGTTTGAAACTATGCTACACTGAACACTTGGTAAGACAGATACCATGGTGTCAGCATAGGTAAGGATGGAACACAGCATTAAATGAAAATAATTGCTCATGGGGGTGGGTGAGGGGAGAGCTCAGTGAAGTTCTATGTACTTTGTTTGTATTTTTTATATTTACATATTGCAAATTTTGCAGATCCAATTGTTACATTTATATATTTTTATATTGTATAGAATTGAAGGTTGATTTTCTAGCTTTGTATGTTTTCAGATTTTTAATGATTTAATGTATTATTAGATTTATAAACTGTCTCATTCTGGAGCATTGTGATAGATAATCAGTCATATATAATAGAAGGACAATGCAGGACTGCTTTTGTTGTAGTTGGGTTATACGCAACTTCCAAGCTGTGCGATCTACCCTAGTGACTTTGACCAGCACCACGTCATACAGAAGTCCTTGCTACATTCTGGACCTGCAATGCTTGTAAAAATGAAAAGACACTGCTAGAGGTGTGCACTGAACAGTTGCCAGACTCAAATGGAAATGGAATAAATAAACTTCGCATAAGCCTCCAAGTTTAGAAAAGCAAAGCCCTATTGGTTCAATATGTGAGGGCTTAACTTTGTGACATGTATCAGTATGTACAATTCTTTCTCATGGCTCACTCTTTTTGAGAAGGTTTATGAGCTATTTGGCTGGTGTGAGACTCACGACCCACTCCTGTTCTCTCTATGGAATTGTAGGTGCTCGGACAGGTAACCTCTGCTGCTACTGTCTCTTTTATTTTTAATTTTTCACTGTTCTAGGAATGTCTAAAGTATTGTAGAATTTATAACAAAATGCTACCTTTTCCCTTTCGTGTTCTCTCTCTCTCTCTCTCTGTCTCTCTCTATCTATCTGTCTATCTATCTCTCCCCTCCCCCCACTCTCTTTTTTGTTTATTTGAGTCTTTCTGAACTTGGAGGGCGATTTCTGGGATGTTCTGATAGTGATATGGACCATTGTTGAAAATTTCTATACCCCTCATTACAGTTTTCAGTTGAATGTCTTTTATTTACATAATATACTGTCAATAAATTGATGATTTGGGGTGGGATTTTGTAATTCATAATGGATACTATTCTACAGTAAATACACATCTATTACTTTTTCCCTTAAGTTTCTAACAGTTCACAATTTCTTACTGTTCTTTGCAAAACTTTTCAGGAGCCAAAAAAGTCTCACAATCCAGAGAAAAACTTCCCTTCTCCCCTTTCTGCTGACAAGAGAGAGAGCTTGTGAAAAATCCTTGAGAATGTTCCTTCCTAAACCTCCCCCCCCCCTGTGGTAAAACAGTAAATGCAGCAGTTTGGTGGCATCCAGTACCGACCTGTTGTCAGGTAACTTTCAACTCTTTGACAATCCCATATTTGCTAGCATCACTTTCTTTTCTATTCTCCTCTTGTCTTAATATAGCTCCCTTTTTGAAAGAATGGTTTTGTACGCACACGGAGCTCTGTCTACCTGTCTGTCTAACTAGCCATTCACCCATCTGGCTTGGCTTGGCTTGGCTTGGCTTGGCTTGGCTTGGCTTGGCTTGGCTTGGCTTATTAGAGCCATATTTTAATAACCCTTTTGAGGACTTTTAAGTTCCAATTGGATCATGGCAAGTTTAAACAACTTGCACTTTCTGAAATGATGATGGGATGGTGTGCAATTCCATATAATCTACTGCTTTTGCCTACCCATGTACCTGTTATTTTCTTCTCACTCTCCCCCTCCCCCATTGCAATATACAACTGGATGAAATTTTTACAGGGCTTTCATGCTTTCCAGGGGCACAGTCCCAAAACAAATTAGTATCAATTAATAACAGGTATGAAAAATTGGTATAAAAAGCTATATATGCATATAAATTATTTCCTATCATAGGGGTGGAGAATGATGGTATTCTTGGTGAAAGATTTTGAAGTGAACATATTTCAAGATTTTTTAGTATGTGCTGTTCAGCATCATTCCCATTTCAGTAATACATGGTAATTAGAATAAGATTGGAATACTTTGTAAGCAAGTTATTGACAACTCAAGGTCTGTATGAAAGTGCAACTGCAACAGTGCATTCAAAATTGGAGGAAATGTCAAGCAGGAAGAACTAAATGCTTCATATGAATATTCCCTCAAATCAGCTTTACAGTATATAGTGCAGCACAGTAATAATTTCCCTCAGATGTTGTTGTGTCCAACAATCATTATTCTGTGTACACTCCAGCTTGAGAAAAATAGTTCTCTGCCAGTTTAAACACATGTATGACATATACTGTAAATAGAACCATAGTCTTCTGATTGTGTACACTAAGTGCAGAATGTGGCTTTAGGAAAGATAATGTATATTATTTTTACCGCTCTTCATTTTCATAATGCTAATTTCTTCATCACTGGCAAGGCTTATTCCCTTGTATGCAGAGGCTGCTGCTTCAGTGTGGTTTTTAGGCACATTGCCATAGCATGATGGAGAGCAATACAATTCCTCTTTTGACTTACCAGTAGACTAAAGAGAAGAACCAATGCTACATATTACTTATTTTAAGTTGGCAAAGCCCTTGTAAAGTTACAGTTTAAGGAAGGTGATGATCAAGAGTCAGTGTGGTGTAGTGGCTAAATGCACAGGACTGGGACTCAGGTAAGCTGGGTTCTAATCCCCACTCAGCCATGGAGCACACTAGCTGATTTGGGCCAGTCACAAACTCTCAGCCCAACCTACCTCACAGGAGGAAGAAAATTATGTAAGCTGCCTTGAGATCCTTGAAAGGAAAAAAAAAAAAACAGGATTTAAACATGGGATTTCCTATAAACAGCACTTGATGAGAAAAGGAGAAATCAAAACAAACATAATGTGAATAAAATACGCTCTGTTCTGGTTAGATTCACCCATGTGAATGAAGCACTGCCTCTGACTGGGATTGTCCATGGTGATGTTATGCTCACTGGTTAGCTGACAGCATTCCAGGGTGGAGATCAAAGGGAGAGGGAGGAAAGTGGTAGGTTCTTGGGGCACAGTGGTTGTGAACAGTGCCCA